TTCAATCTATAACAGTAAAAAAAGTTTTTTGTTTTTAAATCCAAGCTATTGTGACACAGGATCTAATTAGTGGCACTTGTCAGCGTATCCACTGTTAGCGTAACACACCCGCTTTAAGGACACTGACTGCTATTCAATCTATAACAGTGAAAAAAGTTTTTTGTTTTTTTTAAATCCAAGCTATTGTGACACTAGATCTAATTAGTAGCACTTGTCGGCGTATCCACGCTTTAAGGACACTGACTGCTATTCAATCTATAACAGTAAAAAAAGTTTTTTGTTTTTAAATCCAAACTATTGTGACACCAGATCTAATTAGTGGCACTTGTCAGCTTATCCACTGTTAGCGTAACACACCCGCTTTAAGGACACTGACTGCTATTCAATCTATAACAGTAAAAAAAGTTTTTTGCTTTTAAATCCAAACTATTGTGACACCAGATCTAATTAGTGGCACTTGTCAGCGTATCCACTGTTAGCGTAACACACCCGCTTTAAGGACACTGACTGCTATTCAATCTATAACAGTAAAAAAGTTTTTTGTTTTTAGTTTTTTGTTTTTAAATCCAAGCTATTGTGACACCAGATCTAATTAGTGGCACTTGTCAGCGTATCCACTGTTAGCGTAACACACCCGCTTTAAGGACACTGACTGCTATTCAATCTATAACAGTAAAAAAAGTTTTTTGTTTTTAAATCCAAGCTATTGTGACACCAGATGTAATTGGTGGCACTGACTGGGGAAATGGGCACAGTATGCACTGTGAGCCTGACACAGAAGCTGGCAGCAGTGGCAGACAACTGACTGCTATTCAATCTATAACAGTGAAAAAAGTTTTTTGTTTTTAAATCCAAGCTATTGTGACACCAGATGTATTTGGTGGCACTGACTGGGGAAATGGGCACAGTATGCACTGTGAGCCTGACACAGAAGCTGGCAGCAGTGGCAGACAACTGACTGCTATTCAATCTATAACAGTGAAAAAAGTTTTTTGTTTTTAAATCCAAGCTATTGTGACACCAGATGTAATTGGTGGCACTGACTGGGGAAATGGGCACTGTGAGCCTGACACAGAAGCTGGCAGCAGTGGCAGACAACTAAGTGCATTTACATTAGATAGAAAAAAAAAATCAAAAAAAAGCATACCCTTATCCCTAACCTAGCTATGCTTTTCCCTATCTTATGAACAGCAGCTACACTTTCCCTCCTCTTACTAAGCATGCAGCTTGAGAATGAATCTAAAATGGATGCTGTCCAGTAGGTGGGAGGGTCTGCTAGGGAGGCTGTGCTGCTAATTGGCTGGAATGTGTCTGCTGACTGTGAGGTACAGGGTCAAAGTTTACTCAATGATGACGAATAGGGGGCGGGTCGAACCGCGCATATGTTCGCCCGCCGTGGCGAACGCGAACATGCTATGTTCGACAGGAACCGTTCGCTGGCGAACCGTTCGGTACATCACTACAAACAGACTGCAGGCACCATGACCACTTCAAAACACTTACGTGGTTATGGTGCTTGGAAAAACGTAATAAGACCCACGTTCCCCAGAGTTTGTTTCACCCCAATAGAAGCATTTTGTTTAATCTAATGTCTGTTTCTTTAGTGTGCTAGTTGCAAGCTTGTTTGCGTGCTTTTCTTTCGGTTCACCATTCATCATTCGTATTTTGGTGGGTTTGTTAAACATGACTTTTAAGGTTTATATCTTATATTTTACATTTACACTCACATTCTGTTGTACGTAATCTCTTTTCTGTAGAACGTCAGCATGATACTGCCTGTACGTTCTTTCATTCTTTAAAAGTGAATATATTAATAGCTATTGATGACTTAGGAAGCAACTTTAATAATTATTACTGTCTTTATGCCGTATTCTTGTACAACACCATGCAATGATAAGATACACTTAACATACGAATGCTAAATTGTAGGTAAGAAAAACAAAACAAAACAAAAAAAATAACCCCAGTATTGTGACTGTGAAAAACAAATCATGTTTAAATACATTTCTGTGGCTATTGATCATAGCAATAAACAGTGCAGAGATGTAAACTTTGGCATGGTAGTGGTTGCAGACTCACGCACAGCGATTAGGGAAATACCCCACCCCAAACATAGAGACTTGAAAAAAAGAAAAACAGAAATTGCACTCCCACCTATGATTTGCATTTTTTTCAATTGCAGAATATAATTTTATCCACCACATAAAAATCCACAAGAGAGTGAAATTTGGCAAAAAATTGTAAACAGACAATGATTTCAACAACTCTGACAACTAGAAAATTGGAGTTCATTGGAAATGTATTTTAAAACAGCTGTAATATTGAGAGAAGCAATGCTAAAAAATGATGTGTGAAACAATATTTGAAATATATTTTTAGTATTTAATCTGTATGCCATGGGAAGCTTTGAATACATTTTTCATTGAATGTAGTGGACTAAAACCTTTTGAGGCATGTTGCAAGTTTTGGCCCCAGGCAATGAAGAGCCATTTCATTTTACTTACTTCTGAAAAGCTAAGAAACACTGTACTCTTAAGATCTGTATATCTCAACATCTAAAACAGCATCTCCTACATATACACTATTTTTCATTGATGTTCATATACTGTGCCTGTCTAAAATAGTAATGTGTAGAGCAAATATTATAAAGTACAAGGCTTCCATTATAAAGGATGCTCATATTTAATAACACTGAAGGGACTCAATTTGTTATGCAAAACGGCTCAGCACCACATTAGCTAGAGAAGAAATGTTTAAGAATGCTGGTACGTGAAGGGCCATGAAGAGCGACTTGTTATTGTATGACTGATTATGTTCATTTATGGTTTCACTTCATTGTTGCAGTAAAGAAGTTCAAGAACTGATAAGACTTGTGACGGAACGCTGGCACTCCGACTGAGTACCTCCGCCAATCGATGCGCCTAGTGCTCGCTGAGGACTCCAACCGACACCATCAGCACTGCAGACCCCACTTACAGCGATACAGCTGCACCAGGGTCTCGCCGTCCCCACCCACCCTGGATCCACGACCAGGATCCAGCTCCCAGTGGGTGAACCTCTCCTAAATCCAGAGAGCGTAGCAGGAACAAATCAAGCTATTGCAAGAGCTTACTCTGGGGAGTAAGTGATTATAGCAATCCCCAGAGTGTAGGTATCCCTTCCCCCAAACATGAGCCAAGGCTTCAAGAAAGGTACAAGATGATCTGGTTTTAATGACCACACACTGGCTTTTATGCAAGTCCCCATGCAAGGGGACATCCCACAGGGTGGGACACAGTATAACCAATCACAGACAATACAAACAAAACACTCCCACAGTGACATCACAATCCCTCCTCTCTATCCTGGAGATAATTGGGAAGTAATCAAATTATCTCCCAGGACAGAGGCAAGACTCAATTAACCACGTGGTTACAAAAAGACATAAAATTACACAATGTTACAATTACTACATAAAACATATACATGCAACATATCCCCAGATATCTTAGATCTGAGTGCACATTATAATTGAATGGCGCTCAGATCACATACATACAATTCAATCGCCATGGAGCCAAAGTCTTTTCCATAGTCTTTTGTTACACAAATAGGCTCCATGGCATAGCTATCTGGGGTAGCACTACTACCATACTGAAAGTCCAGAACGCCCCAGCAAAAATACACAAATAAAACTTTCTGCAGGGGAAAATACAGCTATCATCACAGGGGCCATAGTCGGAAGGCAGGAGGCTAGCCAGTAGTCCCCTCCAGGCACAAGTGGCAAAGGGCACTTCGTCACACATCTTCCCTTTGGGGGGGGGAAGACTAAACAGGTACCTGACCTTCTGCCAGTCAGTACCTAGGTTAGTCGGGCAGCCCACCAACAAAGAAAAATACAGAGTAACCCCCCCCACAATAAATGGTACTGGCCTGTAGGTTCAAGTTTGTAGTGGGACAGCGCAGCACTCTCGGTCTCCCTGGTGCAGCTAGGCAAACTGCTGGTGTTGCTTGGGGGGCAGAGGCCAGCGGCGCTCTGCCCTGCTGCCAGCTCTTCCACTGGGGTAACCCGTGGTAAGTCAGGCTCTGATACAGGGGAAAAGGGCGGGGCAGAGGCTAGCGGTGCTCTGCCCTGATGCCAGCTCTTCCACTGGGATAGCCTGCAGGGTCTCAGGCTCTGAACAAGGGACAAGGATTGGGCAGAGGCCAGCGGCGCTCTGCTCAGGGGCCAGCTCTTCCACTGGGATAGCCTGCAGGGTCTCAGGCTCTGAACAAGGGACAAGGATAGGGCAGAGGAAAGCAGCGCTCTGCTCAGGGGCCAGCTTTTCTGCTGGGAGGGGGTCAGTGGGTATCGCAGGCTCATCCACTGCCCCCAGGACCCGGTCGGGATGTATCTGGGAGGGGTAGGCTTGCTTACCTCCTCCTCCTGGTATCCCTGCGGGGAAGGTTGGGGATCTGGACCGCCCGTCCAGCATCCCTGTAGGACTGGCACAGAGACCACGGTCCCATCTGCGCCAGTGGGGTTAGGGTTGTTCTCCCCCTCTCCTGGTATCTCTGGCTACTGTTGGAGTGGAAGGCCGGTTGCCTCCCCTACCCAGGACGCTGGTTGCTGTACGGAGGAGCGATCTACCATCACCTCCTCCTGGAACTCAGGCCGCCGCTGGGGAGAGAGACCAGTTGTCTCCTCTCCCTGTATATTATACCGCCGCTGGGGACCTGGGCTGACTGCCCAGCATCCCTGTAGGGCTGGCAGAGAGACTTCGGTCCCATCTCCGCTGGCCATCTCTGTGTGTCCACAGGACAAGTCTATGAGGTCGCCCACCTCTAGCTGCTGTTGAAGAGGGAGGCCGGTTGCCTCCCCTCCCCAGGACGCTGGTTGCTGTACGGAGGAGGGATCTACCATCACTCCTCCTGGAACTCAGGCCGCCGCTGGGGAGAGAGACCAGTTGTCTCTTCCCTCTGTACGGTGCACTGCCGCTGGGAAGGGAAGTCGCTGCTCTCCTCTCCCTGTAACTCACTCTGTCGCTGGAGACAGGGTGTCAATACCCCCAAACTCCACAGTCGGTACTCGAAGTCCCGTGCTGCCTGGTTCTCAGCACTCAACTGGCGCATCAATTGATGGACCACCTCATCTGAAGGGTTTGGGCCAAACCCGCGCGTTTACTTCCTTCATGAAATCAGCACCCTCATAGCACTGTGACAGGCAGATTTGCAATTCACTGGCTGCTGTCCAGGGTCTTGCTAGCTCCATGTTGCTGTAGGTAGGGACGCTGCGCAGAGGCTAGCGTTGCCCTCAATTATAAATCCGTAACTCCACACGTTACCGGTGTCTCCGAGCTGCTGGTCCTCGCATTAGGACGCCATCCCACCGCTGCCACCAAATGTGACAGAGCGCTGGCACTCCGACTGAGTACCTCCGCCAATCAATGCACCTAGTGCTCGCTGTGGACTCCAACCAACACCATCAGCACTGAAGACCACACTTCCAGCGATACAGCTGCGCCGGGGTCTCGCCGTCTCCACCCACCCTGGATCCACGACCAGGATCCAGCTCCCTGTGGGTGAACCTCCCCTAAATCCAGAGAGCGTAGCAGGAACAAATCAAGCTATTGCAAGAGCTTACTCTGGGGAGTAAGTGATTATAACAATCCCCAGAGTGTAGGTATCCCTTCCCCCAAACATGAGCCAAGGCTTCAAGAAAGGTACAAGATGATCTGGTTTTAATGACCAAACAACGGCTTTTATGCAAGTCCCCATGCAAGGGGACATCCCACAGGGTGGGACACAGTATAACCAATCACAGACAATACAAACAAAACACTCCCACAGTGACATCACAATCCCTCCTCTCTATCCTGGAGATAATTGGGAAGTAATCAAATTATCTCCCAGGACAGAGGCAAGACTCCATTAACCACATGGTTACAAAAAGACATAAAATTACACAATGTTACAATTACTATATAAAACATATACATGCAACATATCCCCAGATAGCTTAGATCTGAGTGCACATTATTATTGAATGGCGCTCAGATCACATACATACAATTCAATCGCCATGGAGCCAAAGTCTTTTCCATAGTCTTTTGTTACACAAATAGGCTCCATGGCATAGCTATCTGGGGTAGCACTACTACCATACTGAAAGTCCAGAACGCCCCAGCAGAAATACACAAATAAACCTTTCTGCAGGGGAAAATACAGCTATCAGCACAGGGGCCATAGTCGGAAGGCAGGAGGCTAGTCAGTAGTCCCCTCCAGGCACAAGTGGCGAAGGGCACTTTGTCACAAGACTGATACCCAGTATAGAGACACACTGTATAAAGTGCATTCATCAACATGACAAAGAATCTGTTGTTGCTGTGGTAACAGGCTATTTCTACAGCTATGGCTACAATAAAGCCCTGTTATGCTTCTGTGGAGGAAAAAATAAAAGAAATAAAAGACAAGACGGTGTCCCTCCACATTCAAACTACTCTAATCTGCCTAATTCCATTTTGCTAATTTGTTTAGGTGGTTAATACAAACAGGATAGAAATGGTGTTGCAAACACTGCAAAGGGATCAAAGGAACACTTCAGACAACTAAAACACTACCACTGCTGCCCTTTTTATGTGTGAAGGAAGAGTATGTACTCTTTAAATTTTATTTACAATATTTCAATATACATTTTCACTACCTTGTTACACCCCCTTGTCTCTCAGACAACCAGTCAGTGTTCCTTTATCGGTGTTCTGCCTCATCATGCCACCGAACATAAAGACTGAATTTTCACACCAACCATCGGCACTCCGGATGTTGTGTCCTACAACTCCCCTGCTAAATTGCTAGCATTATTGCTGTAAGAGCATTATGAGAGATGTAGTCAACAAAATCTGAAGTACTAAAGATTGCCTATCCCGGTTCTACTTTATTAGGGCACACTGAGTGATAAATGTATATATTGCAGTTTCTTACAATTTAGGGGCAGCATCTAGGCACGAGTCATCTAAATTAAGATATAGTGATTTGGTAATTATTGTGCTCCCTTAACATTATGGGCTGTGAAGTTCAACAACAGCTGGACTCCTTTGCTCCTTCTTTTAAGAATACAAATAAAGGATGTATGTTGGGATGTGTTTTCTACAGCAATAACGCACTCTGATTTACTACAAGAAAGATCAAAGAGGGTCATTGCAATGATGATTTGATCATGCTAGATCATATCATTACACATGGTGCTAATGGACAGAACAAATTCATCAGATGTCAAAGCTATCCAGATACCATATGAACATGCCAAACCGCATAATGTTGTATAAATGCATATATAACAGGCATGGTAGAAAGATTAAATAGATAGATTCACACACACTCAGGAAAAGTATATACAAAATATATACATAAATAGGTATACCACCTATTGTAGACATAAATATGTTGGTTACATCTGAAAAACAAATGGAACATACATAGTGCTTTCCATATAAATTAAAATAAACAAATTATAATATTTGCGGATTAAACTCACAAAGGTGGAACCTCATAGGCTCTATGTACATCACTCTTGGGTGCCTATTCAGGCTCTCGATAGATTCCTGTTGAAAGAACTCGAGGTCCACAGTAGTAGATGCAAATACAAATTTATTGAAATAAAATATTAAAAAAAAATATAAATAACTAGGGACTTTGTCTTTAGGTGTTAAGGGATTACACCTTTTTTCACACTCACTCTTATTGTTTGTATTTAAGGTTGGAAGCGCCTACACAACTATATACTTTTTGTATATTTTGTCTTGATATATAACAGGCATGCCTGGACAGGCCATCGTGTAAACCAGGCAAATCCCCGGTGGGCCACAATGGTCAAGGGTCGATCTCCCTGGTCGTCCATGCAGGGCAGACACTCAGTGAGTGTGGCCTATATATGTAAGAAAATCCATTCAGGGGCCGGTGGGGAGAGCGGGGCAGGAAGCGGCGAGTCTCACCTACGGCAGGGACCCCAGTGCCCTTTGGGGAATAAACATTTCTCTTCTTTTTTTTTATTAGTATTTTTTTCCCTAAGCAGTCTGAACCCCTATGCGCGTACACACACATACACACACCAGTTCCATAAATATAAACTAAAGCCCCCTATTTACACAGTCACACACACTTACAAAACACTCCCAATCCAGGCACACTGTACCCCATACTCACACTACAGCCTATATTAATATACACACACTATACATACACATAATACATCTCTAAGCACATTATAGCCCTGAATGCACACACACCCTCCAGACATACATTACACCCCATATACAAACACATACACTACACCTTCTTGACACACAAACACTCACTATAGTCCCTAAACACAAACTACCCTGTACACACAAACTACAGCCCCTACATACACCCACACAACCACCCTATAGACAAGCATGCACACTACACCCTCTAAAAATACTGCACCCCAAAGATAAATACACACACATGCTTTCTCGCGCTCGCTCTACAAATGCTAGACAGATGCGCGCATACACACAATCTCTACAGCCCCTAGACGCACACACTTTACATCCAGTGTAAATACATACACACTACAGTCCCTAGCCACAAATAATACACCCCACAAACAGTCGCCTCTTTGCACACGCAATCCTACAGAGAGCTTCCCCACACGTACACAAAACGCTTTACTGGCCATGCCCCACTTTTGTCCTCTGGTATCCCTCTTTTAGAGAAACCAGAGACAAGTCGCCAGCAAATGCAGAGCTGTGCTGTGTAATATAAGCACAAGGCATTGATCCCATGCGTGAGCTTTTCAGCAAACTAACACTTACTTTGAGGTGGCGTGCATCATTGTTGATGACATGACATGCCCCCTCTCTATCCCCGCCCTCTCCTACTGGGCTGCTCTGCCTTTAAATGCATAGGCTGAATTTTTTTCCCAGTACGGCCCTGATAACAGGTGACCAAATATCACATACATTTTTTTATATGGGTTAGATTATATAAATGGGAAAAAGGTGGAATATCCAGTGAGTTCTATATCTGTTTACCCGTTGTGTTGCATGGTTCAGCATTTCTTGCCAAGCAGAATCAAATTGACGGTTTTCATCCTCAAGCAACCTCTGCTCTGCTAGGGAGATGGTTTCCTTGGCCGCCCGTAGAACCTCTGTTGCACGCTGGAAGTCTTGGGTGGCTCTCTGCGCTTCCAACTGAGCCTGGATAAAAGATTCAGCATAATGGCAAATTATTACATGCATTCTTGTTAACAATTTACTGTACCTGACGGTTGTATAGGAGTGGAACTCAAAACACAACCGGAAATTCTA